GGAATAAGTGCTTTATTCCAAACTATACTTTATCCTACTTTCAAAATAAGTATAAGGGAAGCATCTCATAAGTTGACAAAATATTTGTATTACATGACTCGACAAAATTGACTGTTAAACTATTTCGGAGGAACTTGTTAACATAGGATATGATTACAATTAATAATATCAGTTAAGACGAAGCAGAGGAATCAAACACTTTTTAAGTGCACATACAAAACGGACATACTTCGAGGAAAATAGCAATTAGCATCTTCAACACAAAATAAAACTTAAAAAAATCTATAGTCGATTAAATAAATTGGCTATAATAATACATAAAAAACAAGAATAAATTTGGAGCACTAGAGATGGTTATTATACAAAATAATGCATAGCAGTGATTCGATAAAGAATACAATTAAAGCTAATGAATCTACTGTATTGGACCTTGTTCGGAAGATAGTGCTTAAAATTCGGCGAACTTAAATTGAAAAGATTGTTGAAATAGGCGACACAAGTTCTGAAAGTTGATTTGCACACTTTAGCAGTGAATATCATTAAGCTCTGACAAAGTATGATCCAGATAGGCCCGATCGAAAATGTTTTATATACGGTACTGACAATCTGATAATTATAGTTTTCGTTCCCAAATTCAGAAAAGTGAAGCAAATCATAAGCTTCGTTTTATCATTCTCATTATTCATAAAAAATGAAGCAATGTAACAAGCATTGTGTAAAAAGGAAATGCCTTACATGCCGCATGAGTGCCTCTGTAATAACGAGATGCCAGAGAAGTTATCTTGATGCCTACCAGTCCTAAGAGGTCGTAGGAGTTCGAGAAGACGCGTACCGCTTCCAGGTGTCGTGAGCTGTAAAGGTGGGCCAAGTTGGTTATGAAAGGTGCAGGCAGCTATTTGCGCAGAAATAGCATCATCAACAAGTTCCTCAAGCCGACGAGGTGGCAACATAGTCTGCGCTGGAATAAACGTTTGTACACGGGCGATCAACTGCGCCCGACTTCCGCCTTCTGTGCCAGCCCAGCCTCCAGCCTGGGCGCGAACTTCAGCTGGAGTTCGACACATAAGACAACTAGGAATGTAGGAAACACGGATAAAAATGTAGGTATGAGAAGTATGCCAGACGGATAAAATTTGTTTTTTGATGAAAGTT